ATACACCCACTTCCCAGATGGCACCCTCCCATAGCCTCCCTCCCCCCACTAGAGCCCTTATACTCTGATATCCCTGCTACTGTCTGCTGTGTTATTGGCACACCCGGCCGTTCCCCACTATTGTCCATCTGGTGAATCTAGTCAGCCTATCTAGAGGTTTTTCTTTTAGGAAGGTCAGCTGTTCCTCATCTAGCAGCAATCTGTTGTCAATATTCCTTTAGATAAGATTGGAGTCTGCTGTTTATTTTCCCAGTTCTATTCTGGGTTACTATCTGGGAGTCCCTTGGGTCACCCTGGCCAACAACTCAAAAGAAGGTATCTCCTATCTGGAGTAGTTGCTTGTTATGTAGCCTTTAGCTATACATATGGACTCTTAAATTATATTTTCCCCTTTAATCTTTGGTTATACTTTCCTTTTGGGTGTTTAAGGCCATACAGTTGGCCCAGATAAACCAATTTATTTTTACTCTTAAGGCCGTTTGAGGATCTGTTCCTCAGGGGTCACATGGGCTTGGGAGGAGCCCCTGGCTCCTTTCTTTTGCCAGTTCTGCCTATGTGAAGATAAGTCAAAGGCCCTGCTTGACCATGGCTAGCTTCACTTGAAAGCATGGAAGAAATGATTCCTCTGTGTTGACCCTCCTCTTTGTAGACTGGACACTGGTTCATGTCCATCTTGTGGGGCCTCCTTGGCCTCCTTGATCAAGAGAATAGGTGACCCACCACAATTATAGGACATTTTGGGAGATGCTCATAGTCCCCTGGAACTAGTCGACCTAGGAGGGCAAGGAGTAAAAAGTGTCCATTATGTCCCTCTGACCAAATTAGTATAAGCCTCAAAGTATGTCTCTTAAACATCCAAGAAGGTTAGTTCCACCAGACTGGTACTTTTAATTACTGTGTGCCATGTAGATAAATCCTGGGCAAAGATGAATTGTTCTCAGATAAACTTTACCTGACATATTTCTTGATCATGGTATATATACTTTGTCAGTAGGTTGTCGGACTAATATGGTTCCCTCTGGTTTTTATAACTAGCTAGGCATTATTTATCTCTTGCATTGTCTAACCCTTCCATCATGGTTTCCCCAATTAAGGTGCCCCCATTTCCCCCTTTCTCCCTTAATAATACCCTTCTCATATGGTCCTACCTCTCTTGAGCTCCTTTCCCTTTATCCCCTAGGTTTCCTTCCCTCCCCTATCCCTTAAACTATCCCAGTTTTTATCCATATCTCCCTTATTAAGGCCTGTTTCCTACTGTTCTTCTCTTTCAGGTTCTTTCTTTTCCTTTACTGCCCAGGTTCCTTTCCATTATCCTGGTTCCTGTAGTTATGTCTGGATACATACTCACTTATCCAAGATGTACTTTAGGGCTGGTGAGATAGGCTTACCAGTTAAAAACACTTGCCATGCAAACTTGACAATCTGAATTTGATTCCTGGAACTCATATTAAGGTGGAAGGAGAGAACTACACAAAGTTATTCTCTGACCTCCACACATATGCTATGGCACACATGCCCCTCCAACACATTTGTATACACATATACACATAAATGCAAACACAATAATAATAAAATAAAAAAAATCTTAACACTAGTGGTGTCACTCTCTAGCTGTGCAACTGTGGCAAGATATTTGTCTTTCCTTAGTTCCTTCTCTGGATTGAGGTAACATCACTAGATGCCTAGGATGGAGCTGTAGTTGGAAGATGAGGTGAGATGTATGTGTGAATGTGTTCTTCATCTAGTATATAAATAAAATATTAAGCAAATGTTAATTAGTAAGGGCTGGGAAAACAACTTAAATATTTTTTCAGTATTTAATTTTTAAATAAGATAGGGTCTTACATAGCTCAAGCCGATCTCAAATTTAATATATATCTGAGAATGACTTTCTCTCTGATCAGAATGAACTTCTGATCCTCCCTCTACCCCTGAGTGCTAGGATTACAGGAGTGTTGCTGACTTAAAAAAGCTTTTAACTGACACAAAGCTGGATGCAGTGGTGCATGCTTATGGTCTTAACTACCTGGGAGACTGAAATGTAAGGATCACTTGAGCTCAGGAGCTTGAGATCAGCCTGGGTTCCAGAGTGACACCTTGTCTCAAAGACAAAAACAAAAGCATTTTAAAAAAATTCACACATAATCGTATATATTTATGGGGTCCTATGTGGTATTTCAACACATGAATACAATGTATAAATGGCATATCTATCACCTCAATATTAGGAATGTTGGGAACATTCAGATTCCTTTCTGGTAACTATTTTGAAATCTAAAGTTAATTGTTTTCAACCATAGTCACTCTATTATGTTACAGAATATTAGACGTTCATTCTATCCAGCACTTCCCAAGTACAATTCCATTCAAATATTTGTTTAAAGTTTCTCAGAGAGGCACAAGGAGGATTGTGGTGCTGATAGAGCACAATGTAACTCTGATTTACACTTTATCTGCCTCCCTCTCAAAGTCTGCTTGTGATGGCAGCTATCTTTTAGAAAAGCACTATCTGAAAGGAGTATTGCTCATGAAATTTTAAGTTTCCTAGTAGCTATATGTTGATGTTCAGACCCAAAATTAACCACGGACACAGGGAATGCTTATTTCAAAGACAGCAGAGAGCTCAGCACCTCTAGGGTGAGAGCCCCGAGTGTTCTTTTGCTTTTCCTTTTATTGGTCTTGCAAAACAATTACAGCATAAGAAGCAGAAGCAAGTAAGTGATTACTCACAGGGCACAAACATTTTCCCCTGATACTATCTAGGTACAAAGTCCTACTATGGCTACTGACTATTTTCAAGGATGTTCTGGGTTTTGGAATTACAAGCTCAAGATGAAGGTAGTTGTGTTAGTGTGCTGATTAACACCTCCACACAATTTCTTGTGTGCAAGGAACTGCGTGGCTTTTTCTGTAACTTGCTTGTGACCTTCCAAAGCAGCTTGTCCAGTTATCTCTATGTTGCCCAACCTCTTCTCTTTATACTATTTGGTTCCCTTGAACTACAGTTTTTTTAAAAGTAAAAAAAGTAAAATTAATTTTAAAGATGAATTCTATATATTAAAATTACATGCATCTTTGTGTGTGTGTGTGTGTGTGTGTGTGTGCATGTGTGCATGCAGGTGACTTCAAAGGCTAGAAGAGAAGAGCATCAGACCCCCCAAAGCTGGAGTTATAGGTGGTTGTAAACTGCTCAACTTGGGTGTTGGGAACTGAACATGAACTTGGCAAGTCCTAACAAGTCCTAACCACTGTGCATGTTTCTAGACCCCTAAAATTAATTTTAATAATATACATCACTCCTATGTCTAAGATACTTCAATCTCGAACATGTCATTTTAATATTGATACAATTTGAAATATACACGGGATATTTTATATTTTTATACTGTTTTTGAAATCTACATGTATTTTATTCTTTTGACACATTTCAAATTTTAAGAGCCATATGTAGTAGTTTTAGCATTGGATAATATAAGCCTCAACACCCTCCCCTTCACCTTCTTCAAAATTCTCCATGCAGGGCCTACCAGGTCTCTTCCTGCTATCTCCTCCTTTTCGTCTGTCCCTTTCCTTCTGCGAGTTAGCAAAGCTTTAATTCTTGCTCCTTTGATGCTGGAGTTTAAGGAGTTTTCTGATTCATATAACCAAAAGGCTTAGTGTTGTAGAAGGGAACGTCAAGTCACAAGCATTATCCTTGTCTTATGAATGATTGTTCTCAGGTACACAGTAGCCAATCTGATGTTTCAATAGTATATTTACTATATTGGTGTTACCCAGTTGCATGAAACACTTCTAGAGGCTTGAGAAGAAGTATAATCTTATAAAATGTTTTTAGTGGCTCGTAACACCACTGTGTTCAGATCTGCCTAGGTAACTAGGTAAGAGGTATGGGCAGAAAAATAATGGAGGTGTGGGATGTGCCCACAGGAAGACATCGTGTGGCTTATTGGCCAACGCTTGCTATGAAGAACATGTGAGTGACAACAGAACCTGTCTCCCCAGCTGCTGATTTGGTTTCTCTTACTGGCACCCAGTCCATGGCTTCTCTAAGTGAAGGGTTTAAAATTCTTAAAGTGTTTCTTTTCAGTAAAATAAACAGCAAATAAAGTGCCTCTAAAATTATGCAGAATGGTAAGGAAATTAAACAGTCTAGTTAAGTGAATATTTGTGAAATTTAATTAATATTCAAATACTGTACCCTTAGTTGTAATAATTTTAAATGGAAATGTGTATAATCTACTACAAATCTTATCCTCATTTTCAGAGAATAATGAGTCAAATTTACACTGTTTTAGGTTATTTGTTGGATTGAATTTCACTGTTATGGGGGAGGAGAAAGGGAGTAACTAATACTTATTGAGTGGCTATGCTGTCCCCAGCTGGGCTTTATGTTACAAGAGTATTTGACCCTCCTGTGTCCCCAGCTCCATTTATGTGTTTGGAGGAAGTTGCCATGTGTATTACTCTTAGTTTGTTTATATAGAGAACTTAGCCAGTCTAGCCAGTTGTGGAGTGGGATTTGACCCATCACAGTTTGGTGCTAAAGACCATGTTTTAAATACTTTGTTACTAATGTAGCCTCCATCACACCTCTGGGGTAGACATCAGCATCCTCATTCTACAGATATGGGACTGGAGGCTCTTGAGATAAGTAATAGTTAAAATCATCTGGCAAGTGACATTCCTTCTTCCTCCTTTCTCCGCTCCTCTGGAGCTTTGGGATTTTGACCTAGTTAGGGCTTGGCTTTGGCAGTGAAAACATCGGCCTGTCTTTATTACTTGTGTGTCCTTTCCTTTCCCCACAAAGTATCTTATAGCTATGAGCCAATACTCAAGAGATTTGGTTTGCTGTTACCTATGATCTAAAATAATTTAGAGAACTATTTGATAATTTACACTACAGTTTCCTTCCCACAGTTTATATTCTAAACTGTTCATGACTTTTTTTATTCCAGAGAGATTGGAACAATTATCAGGTCATTAGGATGCTGCCCTAGTGAAGGGGAGCTGCATATTTTCATTTCAGAGGTAAGTGGCTGAGGAAGTGCCACCCAGCTGACTCTTTTGCCTGACTCCTTGTAATAATAATTTAAAAAATCCTTATCTAAGGCTGGGCATGGTAGCACACACCTTTAATCCCAGCACTCAAGAGGCAGAGACAGGTGGATCTCTGTGAGTTTAAGGCCAGCCTGGTTATTTTGATATATCACAGTGAAAGATTTATCGTCCTCTTTTTTTTTTTTTTTTTTTTTTTTTTAAAAAAAAAAAAAAAAAAAAAAAAAAAATCCTTACCTAAAACTAAAATTTCCTAAACTACTAAGGATGCACTTTAAAATTATTAGGATACTATACATTATGCATGTAAATCAACCTACAGGACCTGAAATAATTGGATCAAATCTTGAAGAAATGACCATGAAGAAATGACAACTGTTGATATACTGCTTTTAAAATTGGTTGAAAACAGGCCTGTAGTGGGTGACAATTGCTTTGACCATATGCAGAAAGACCAGTGACAGATGAAGGGAGTTTTGTAATTATGTTTGTTCACAGGGTAAGCAGAGACACTACAATTTTTATTTATTTGAGGAAATAAAACTAACTCTCAGAACAAGTATAATAGTAAATAGACTAAAATAAGAACATTAACCAGTCTAAATTTCTTTAAATTATTATTTATAATAATAACAAAATTAAAATAACTTTAAAGATTTTGATTGGCTTTACTTTGTGATTATAGATAAGTAACACCCCATTCCATGAAATGGATTAAATGCTGCATGGCCTGGCCAGAGGAGACTGGTGTTACTGACAGAAAGGCTGAAGAAAGCAGAAACAAAGAACAAAGATTCAATTGGCCATTTCAGAGTTACTTTCCATATAAGGCAGGGAAGGGAAACAGAAAATAGGAAGGTAATTGGCAGGTTAAAATCAGGTTATGCCATGCTACATGCATACATAGCTATGCATGTTTTTTTGGTAAAGGTTAAAATAGAGGGACTTCGTTATCATGCCCCCCTGAAACCAGCTTGCCTGAAATTTATGAGGTCAGATAATAGGAAATCTCTGGTGATGTTTAACTTTATCTTGGGTGACCCATTTTGGTTTTTAGTCTGGTCTTTGGGGCCTAGCACAGGAACTGACTCCAAAACAATAGCCTATTGTTATTTAGCGGTGTAAGCTGACGCCTGGAAGAACGAACAGTGGACAAGCAGCCCATGCCCACGGAGCTTCATACCCCACTTGACTTTCCAAAAGGTTTCTGATTTAATGTTTAGTGAAATTTTTAGTTCAACAAAGAAAAGACCAGGAAAAAAAGCTACTTGGTCTACCAGCTGGAAAAACATCTCATCAGAATTGCTTTTCTAGGCCTGTTGAGGGGTGTTGGTCAGAGGATTAACAAAGGATAAAAGCGAAGAAGTGGGATTTTACATATTTCCTTACTCCTTATATTCGGTAGTCCTTGATTATTCAATGCTATGTTGAAAAGAAGTAATTTTGGGCAAGCTACTTAACTTCTGTTGAGTATCAATTTCTCCATAATAACACCTACTTCAGAGTTTGCCTTAAAGATATATTAAATAATGTATAAAAAGCCAAGTTTTAAATCCAAAGCACTATAAAAGTTAAGTAGTTTAACTCTTGCTCAGATATTAGCACCTTGGTAACCATGTTAGTTGCTTTCGGAGCTCTGTGACTACATTCCCTCCAGAAACAACTTGAGGGAGGAAACATTTGTTTGGGTTCATGGTCTAGAGGGAAGGCATGGTGGAGTGGCTTAGCTCATGGTGGACTAAGGAACAGAGAAAGCAGCAGGAAGCAGGGCCAGATAGAACCCTCAAAGGCCTGTCCCCACAACCCACTTCTAGACCTCATCCTATAAAGCTTCCACAGCCTCCCAAAATAGCTCCACCAGCTTGGGAGCAAGTATTCAAAGCATGAGCCTGTGGGGGTCATTCAGACTCAAACCACAACAGTAGCATCAAATTTTCATTAACATTTTGAAATATCCACTGAGGAATTCCTAATTGTAAGAATAACGGGTCCCCCTCCCTCCCCCATTTTGGAATCCCAAAAGTTATTTTTAATGACGATTAGGAGAAAAGTTTATTTTTTCTGTGTACTTCTCTCTACTCTAACACCCCCCCGCAAAGGTGTTCCTGTTCCCAATTACTGCTTTAAAATTTTATTCACAAAGCTAGAACTGGTATTGGAGCGAAGTAGACAACTCTATGAGAGAGCTAGGAGTTGGAAGTTGAATTTATGGTGAAATTGTGATCTTTGAATGTTTGGAAAACACAGCAGTAGTGATACTGCTTGCATGTTTTAATAAATACTAGGAATCAACAAAAATCCTGCTGAGCCCATCTCAAACACTGCTAAACTCATTAACATATTGCCTATGGCTCTTTTCTTATCACAAGGGCAGAGTTGAGTAGTTGGGACAGACTCTATGACTTGCAGAGCTTAAAGTATGTCAAGTTCTTCATAGAAAAAGTTTGCCAACTTTTCATGTGTTCCTATGTCAAAGCAGAACAAATACTACAGCTGATCTAAGAATACCTGGGCACAAATCCCACGCTCCCACTCACAGTCGTGTGGCCTTTGGTGAGAGGTTTAGTCTTTTAAAACCTAGTTTCATCCTGGCATAGCCATGATGGCTTATCCTTTCTGCCTATGCCTGCCACTTGCTCAGAGCCTGCATACTCCAGCCCTGGGTTCCCACAATGACCCTGATCTGTTCACTCAATACACTTTGTGTCCCATGGGACCTGGATGAGGCTCAGGGCCACATAGCTAGTCTGTGTTGACCCAGGTCCCAGGGAAGCTCACACATTTGTACCTCTAGTATAGTGACTCACTCCTTTTGACCAAGGGAATCAAGGACCAACTTCTGTATGTCTTGAAACTATGACAAAATTGACACAGAAAAGTTCTTGGTAAATTCCCATTTTATGAAAGACCTGGCTTAGATAGTTTAGACCACATGGAGATTATAGTGGCCATGGAAGATGAATTTGGGTTTGAAATTCCTGATATAGCTGTGGAAAAGTTAATGAATCTACAAGAAATTGTAGATTACTTTGCATGTAAGAAGGATGTACGTGAAAAAAGTATAGATCCTCTTTCCTCACTGGAGTCAGGTAATATTGGCGAGTTTTGTCCTTTGAAAAGAATTTTTTAAACACCTATTTATTTATTTATTTATTTAGTGTGTGTGTGTGTGTGTGTGTGTGTGTGTGTGTGTGTGTGTGTGTACACATGCCATGATGCCTATGTGGAGGTCAGAGGTCAACTTTCAGTTGAAAGTTTGAGAGTTGGTTCTCTCCTTCTACCATGTGAGTTCCTGAGGTTTGGTGGCAAGCACCTTCCCCCCACTAAGTGACTTCTCTAGGTCCAACTCTTTGAAAATAAATTCATTAAAAAACCAAATGAAAGAAACAAACAACTAACTTAGTTTAATATCTGTAAAAGAAGTGTAGTTATACCACAGTGTTTTCTGAGGATTAAATTTAATAGATTTACTAGCTTTGAAGAATTAGCCTTGGTGGATGCTTGTTTTATGTTTAGGTTTGCTTGCTCTGCAGGTGGGTCTCTACCATGATTTCCTGACTTGTTTGGGCACATAGCCATAGTGGATGCTTATATCCCAGTTTTGTCTTTACCCTTTTCATGGGCACATTGCTATGACCTTTGAAGATTACTTCCATTTAAAATTGTTTTGGGCATTGTAAATGCTTTTCTGTGTTGGTATACTAACACAGATTATTCTAACAGCATGGTTACAAACAGCCTTGACTACCCTTCTTAAACTTTCCCAAATAAATGAGAGAGGAAGGCACACATATTTGTACTTATCAAATACATTTAGGACATTGAAGCTCCATGATAGTAAATATATAGGGATAAATGTCATATGTTAAATGTTCTATAGCAACTTCAGAGATCAAACCATTTTAATGTGTTCGTATATCTGTTCTAAAATTATTCTAGAACTGGTAAGATGGTTTAGCAGGTAAGGCCACTTGCCACTGAGCCTGACCTACAATACATACACACACACACACAAACAAAACATTAAAACCTGGGGACTGGAGAGACAGCTCAGCAGTTAAGAGCACTGGCTGCTCTTGAAGAGGACCCAGGAGCCACATGGTGGCTAACAACCGTCTGAAAATCCAGTCCCAGAGGAATTCGATGCCATCTTCTGACCTCCGTGGGCATGATGCAATATGGGTGTGTTTACATACATGCAGGCAATACACTCATACACATAAAATTAAACAGCAACAAAACATTGAAACCTGTAGCTGATAATTTATTTCTCTAGCTATCTAAGTACTTGGATTTTAGTGTAGATACAAGCATTTCTAATTTTTGTAATTCTCAGCCCTTTGCTTCCTGAATGTCAAATTGAAATCCGACATCTCTTGAAATATATGTTTTAAAATTACTCACCATTGATTCATCTGTTTAATATTCTAAAATTAGCAACTTTCTCCAAATAATGTCTGCCTGTATGGGACAGTATAAAAACCAGCAACTGTGAGGAAGAAAGGTTAGTGTAAATCTTACTGACGGGCAGGTTATCCAACAGCCCTGCCTTTGTTATTAAATTAGAGCTATCTAGAATCTTCAGTGTGTGGGAGCTGAGAGGAGGTAATGGCATTTTGGTACAAGGAAAAGACTATTTAAAGGTCTATGTCCTTTTTTTAAAAAAAATTTTTTGTTTGTTATTTTTATTTTATGTGTGGAGTGTTATACCTGCATGTAAGTGTACCTGTGTTGTGCAATGCCTGTGGAAGACAGAAGAGGCTGTCAGATTCCCTGAAAATGGAGTTATAGACAGTTGTTAGCTGCCATGTGGGTGCTGGGATTCAAACTCTGGTCCTCTGCAAGAACAGTCAGTGTTCTTAACTGCTGAGCCATCTCTCCAGCCCTAAAGGTCTATGTCATTTGAAGTTCAAACTTAAGTAGAATTATAGAGAATTTAACCTAATTACACAAGAGAGCTAAAAGATGTCTGA